GGGGGTGGGGATGGGGTGGGTCAAAGCTTCGACGGCTTGCGACTTCCGACCGTCCCATTTTTCCGTGCTCCTCTTCAGCAGTGGGCACGTCCAGGATTGCGTGCGGTGCCTTGCCCTGCTGCTCCATGCATCAAGTGTCAAAGGGATGGTCCCTGAACGTTGTGAGCCCAGTTTTCGGGGGCCTGATGGGAAACCCTGCCAGCCTTCATCAGAGACAGGCTGTCTGCTGGGCCACATGCTGTCCTCAGCAAGGCAAGTCCTCACACAGAAGGGCTTCTGACCCTAAGGGTTACACCTGGACTAAGGTCATCTTTCTCGATACCTTCTTTGAAATGGACACTTCTAATGGCCCAGCAGCTACTCATCAGATGAAGCTAGGACCATGGGAAACCCCACTGGACACAACCCTCCCACATGCTTCAGAATTGGGAGGCCAAAGGTCCTACCTCGGCCCACTGTGCTGGAAGCAGACAGCACTCTGTCCCTGACGCCTCTGTCCATGTCTCAGGAGGACACCTCCAGCCTGAGAAACCCTGCCCAGCAGGGCAGCCCTTACAGGCAAAGGGGGGAGCCGTGGGCAAGTTGGGGTGGTGGTGTGTACAGGCAGGTCCACTCAACACATTAGGCCAAACCCACTCCATTCAAACCGGGCCTTTCAGCTCCACCAAGAGCACAAAGGAACCCTGTGTTCTAACACAAACTCTTGTCTCTGCAAGAAGAATGGAAATGCTGGGTCACACACAGACCCGAGCCACTCGGCCTGCTGGGCTTCTCTGCAGCAACAAATGGGGTTCACAGTGGGCCCGCAGCTGCAGGCCAATTGGCTGGTGACTAGCAGGCTGACTCAAGAGGGCAAGGGGCTGGAGGGTGAATGTCACAGGGTCCTGGGCATGGGGTGGATGCAGTCACGGCCTCCCCCCATTGCACAAAGCACCTGGATCCGAGGTGACCATGCCTGGAGGGACCAAGGGCACCAAGCCTTTGGCTGAGATGGGGGAGCTCAGCATATGGGACACCCAGGAGAACTGGATTCAGTCTCCTGAGTCATCTATGCCCAGATCCCCATTTCCTGAATATGGAGGGTGGAGCAGAATGGTGGTTGCGGACACATGGACATGACTATCTAAAACCTTTCTGTTTGTGACTCACCTGTGGGGCGAGCCATACCTGCCGTTCTGGACTCCCTACCAGCTCGTGATTGCCAAAGGCCTCCCACAGGGAAGTCACTGGCCTAGTTGGGATCTTAGTCGGCCTGTGAGCGCTGAGGACAGGGCCGTGACCAGCACAGAGGATTTTGATTCAGATGGACAATTCCACCTTTGATACTGAAACAGAGCAGCCCTGGGGTCTCTGTTCTGTCTGACCTTTTCCCTAAGGCCCTGCTGTGTGGGCCCCTCACCCAGCTCGCCGGCAGCCTTGATGTCAATGTTATCATAGCCGCTGCCTATCCGCACGATCACTCTCAAGGCCTTGAACTTCTCCAGGTCTTCCCTGGTGAGGGTGATGGTGTGGTACATCATGGCGCCGACTGCTTCGTTTAGCACCTGCAACAGGGAAGTAGATCCCAGGCTCAGAGGGGCCAGCTGGCTCACAAGACCCCTCCAGCCTCCAATCCCCGGCTGAGCGCCCCGCCCCAGGATTTAGGCAGGAAAGATGTCGAGTCCGTGATGTGACACAGGTGTGATGGATGTCCTCAGGTGAGTGGCACTAAGACCACGTGGTTTTGTGTGGGGGCAGAGCCTGAGGAGTGCTGTCTGGGCTGGGGCTGCAGGATGACAGGGACCCAGCCTGGGAGACATCGAGGGCAGCCACAGCAATGAATGGCCAGTGACAAGTGACAGGTGCTCTGCCTCTGCTCACCTTCTCATGAATCTCCTGGGTGGCCTGGGCATCGCAGAAGGCCACGGTGGCGAGGTCCTTCAGGATGGGCATCTCCACGGTGCAGTCCCGGCCATCGAGGAGTGCCACCAGGGGACGGGGGTGCAGGGGGCCGTTCATGATCTGGGGACGGATACCTGCAGGTGGGAGGGAGGATACTCGGTGGATGGGCAGGTCCCACAAGACGAGGGGTAGGGAAATGCCGCCCCTGGGCCACAGCAGCATCTTCAGTGAGCAGGCCCAATCCTCACCCCATCTCCTCTGCTGAGTGCCTGCCATCTGAGTGCAGTGGCAGGTTTCTCCAGCTCTCACCTCTGCCAGCCTCCCTCTCCAGGCCCACAAGCTAAGGTGGATGCTGGAGGGACGATTCCGGGCTGTGTCCCAGCTCACTTTCTCAAGAAACTGGGACCTGGGCCTCCTCGAGTGACCTCTTCAACTGCCAATAAGGAACCCTGCGCAGTGATGTATCCCTGCATGGAACTTGGGTGGCAGAATGAGAACCACAAGCATATGACTACTGCCGTCAACAGGGCCAGTACAGTGGACATCTGCCTGGCTAGGCCACCTGCCACCAGACCAGGCCCAAGTCCCAAAGGTTGTGTCCAGTCCTCCACGGACCTAAAGGGCCTCCTGTTCTCAGAACGCAGGGTACCCCCCCCCCCTTCTCAGAGCGTGAGCAGCTGTGTTAAATGCAGGCCCCCTGGAGCATCCCTGGCTGCTCTGCACCAGCGAGGAGCAGACATCAGCCTAGGTGGGGGAGTAGGCTGACACAGATGCCAGTTGCAAAGAGAACGTGTCCAGCAACCCTAGGGCCAGTCAGAAGCTAGTGTTCATGCTGAGGGATGTCCTAGGGCTGCAGAGGCAGTGGGGGTCTGTGCTGGGGTGGGAAGCAGGGACGGTGCCAGGCAAAGGGCCCAGCCGGCCGCTGTCCACGCCACACAAAAGCCACCTTCCCAATGGCTCAAGGCACACCGGTCTTTAGCTCTGAAGAAACACACCCTGTGCAGGATGCTGTTTGGAGACCACCCCAGAAGCATTTGTTAACCTTGGTGGCAGAGAGTAACATCTCCAAAACCATCCCCCCAAATCCACATGGCAGACAGGCCTTCATTTGGCCCCAATCAAGTGACTACAACCCACACCCTGGCTGAGTAAGAACCACCACTGTGGCCTTCGGTAGGGACCCTGTCTCCAAGAAGGCACTGCCATGCAGTGGACAAGGTGGGACATATCTGTTCCCAGCAGCACAGCTAGAAAATAACAGCTCTGCATTGTGTGCTCGTGAAGCCCAGGGTGGCAGATCTGCGGTGTACACATGAGAGTGTGGTAAACTTGGGAGTCAGGGCCTGCAACCAGCACCTCTGTGTCCCCTGCTGGGTCTTCCTTGACCCACTAGTTCTCTGTAGCTCCTTCCTCCCACATCCTTGGCCAGTTCAGGCTACTGCACCTGGGTGGGGAGAGCCACTTTGGTTTATTTCACCCAAAGGTGTATGTCCCCACCAGCGGAGTCCATCCTGGTGTCCCCTGAGCTGCCATGTGGCTGTAAGGCAGGCGTGGCTCCAGGACACAGAAGCAGGTGCCACTTGGGCAGTGCATCCATATGGGTGGCCTGTACCTTACAATCTGGGACTGCCTCACACCACTCCTAGTGGCCCAGAGGCCCTGATGTGGGTGCCTGGAGCCTGTCTGTCCATTAACCACTCAACATTACTGAGAAGCTGCCAATGGGAAGTTCTGTTGCTCTGGAGCCTACCAGCCCACTAGCCATTTCTTGGTGAAGCCGCACACAGAGCTGGGGGCTGGGGACAGTGGGGGGCACTCCCATGCCACAGCTGGAGCAGGTCAGGACAATCATCTCTTGGAATGTGTAGTAAAGAAAAGGCCCTTGTTCTGGCCTTGAAGAACAGCTGGGCAGCAAGAGGCACAGGCCACCTCAGGCCACACAGTTCTCAGGCTCTCCCTCACTCTGGCTGGGCCTCTACAGCTAGTCTGGGTCCCACCCAGGGCAGCCCAGGAGGGGCAGCAGCCAACACCCTGGGCTCTGATCACCCCACTGAGCTGGGGGCCCCTTCATGCCGTGCTGCCTTCCTAAGACCTAGGTCCTTGGAGAAGGGTTTCAGGGAGCTTTGACCCCAGTGTCCACAAGGCACAGGGCCCATCTGGAGGGAAACAGTAAGGCCTGGGTAGCTAACAGGTCTGACCTGCAAAAGAGGGTCTGCTGTCGCCAAGGTTTCCTCAGGGCCAAAGATGGCACAGCCTCTTCTCCTCTCCCATGGCCTCCCTCTCTTCCTCTTAGGCTGCCTTTCCACATGGGGAGAAACACCCTGACTGACTCCAGGGGACGGGGGCTGGCAGTAGGGTTAAGCAAACGATGCTTACAAAGTACATGAAAAGCCTAAGAAAGCCAAGTTGTTAATGAGAAAGCAACCCACCAGGGCTGACTCCAGAGGCATCCAAGGCATCTGGGAAGCAGCGGGGAGGAAACCACAAGATGTCCGTCCACAGCAGTGGTGCCTGCTCCCTGTTACCTGGGTAACAAACTCCAGGTTGCCTAGCGATCGCCTCCTGCGCCATTCTCTTTGGTGGAGCTCATCCCCTGCCTGCCTCCTGTAGGCTTGGCACAAGGAACACAGCCAAGGCTGGGATAGGAGGTCCCAGTTTCCTGGCTGAGAGCCCTTTATAGAAAGGTGGGAAGCTGAGAGGTGACCAGGGCCACGCTCTCCACAACTCTGAGTGCTGAGTGGAGCCGCAGGGTGGTGGTGGAGTGAGTGGGCTGGACGTGTGTCTAGCACAAGGTGCAGGACTCTGAGGAGCCACCTTGAGACCGCCAGCCCCGAGGACAAAAGGAGGCTTACTGAGCTCTGCCAGGGTTTGCTTCTCAAGAAAAGGGGCCACCTGCATGTGTTCCCTCAGTCCCTCTGGGAATGCGTCCATCTGCATGCCAGGGAAGTCAATCAGTTCACGCTACCAGGCCTGGTACTGGCCATGCCCCAAGTCTCACTGGTGCCTGGGGCACAAATTCCAGTGTAAATTGTGAGAACCGGCAGACGCAGGAACAGACCTTCTACCTGGACAACCTTTGTTGTTGTTGTTAGGTGCCGTCAAGTCAGTTCCAACTCATAGCAACCCTGAACGAGAGTCTGCCCGCTCCTGTGCCAGCCTTGCAGGGGAGAGGCTGTTTAAGTCCATTGTTGCACTCACTATGTCACTCCCTCTCATTGAGGGTCTCATCTTTTTCACTAACACTCTACTTGACCAAGCATAATGTTCTTCTCCAAGGACCAGCCCCTCCCGGGAACAGGTGCAAAGTACGTGCGATAAAGTGCCGTCACCCTTGCTTCTAAGGAGCATATTGGCTCTTAGATCCATCCTAAGATTCATATGCATTATGATGGAATATGGTCCTTTAAGGGACTACAGAAACGGGGTGCCCACAGCTCTTGCCTCAACCCCCAGCTTCTGGGGTCAGAGGACCCTACAGGAAGAATGCCCAAGTCACCACGTTTAATGAGTCACTGAACTCAGGGACTGGGGACAAAGTACAGCAACTGGTCACTAGATGCCTGCTTGGAGGCGAGGGACTTTCCGTCCATACAAATCCCAGCCCTGACACTGGCATCATTCCGGTTCCACAGATGGGGAGACAGAGCTGAGGGTGACCACAGACTGTAGCATGCAGTGATGAGAAGGATCAGGTGCGTCAGCACAGCTATGGGCCCAGCTGACACCGGAGCAGCTACTGCTGGCAAAGGTGCTGCTCAAGGCCGAGGACCCTAATCAATATAAATCGCTGAGTCTGCTACTATCTCGAGATTAGACAACAACAAGAATGTAGTCCAATGGAAATCTCATCTTTGCTGCCAGGCCACAGCTGTCTTTCCGCTGGGCACATGCATGTCTCCTCTGTGCTCAGAGATGCTGGGCCGGTAGGCCCATGCTGCAGTTTGACTTTGCCGCTTGATCCCCTGCAGGTACAGGCTCTTCCAGTGGTGCAGGCTCGCTCTCAGCTTCCTTTCGCTCAAGTCTCCGGTTTTCCCTCTGTTCTGCGGGGGTGGGCTCAGGTGGGTGGAGCAGGGCCATCTCCCGGGCGCAGGAGCCCAGTCTGGATGAGTGGCCCACCTGATGGCCCAGGCAATTGTGGCTGGTGTGCAGCTGGTTCCTTGCTGATTCATGAAAGAAAGCTCAGTACCTGACAGCCTACTGCTGACCCATAGGCCTTGGAGGCCATCACCGTCCAGTTCAACATGAAACTCCGATCTGGGCTCATCTTCCCTGGGCCCAAGTCCTTAACTTCAGCAGACTGCAACATGCAGGGTCCAGGGATGGGTTCTCGAGAGGAATTGATTGGGCTTGTGGCAGAAAGAGCTTCACTCAAAGCACTTCAAAGCCAGGTACCTGAAGGAACCTCTCGTCTAAAAAACAGAAGCTAAACTGAACTGCCTTGTTGTAGGAATACGGTAAAGACCGAAACTCAAACACCAAGTCGAAGCTGAGTTCACTCCAACTCCCGGTGCAGAACTGGGGTACATAGTGTTTGAAACCCACAGCTGTTATCATTTGCTAGAAAACATTCCATTAGAGACAGGATGGCATTAGCCATGGAGGGCACATAGACCCCTCTTCTCTCTGGCACATTCTCTAAGAGGCTCCAGTTTGGAGGAATCTGGGCTCTAAGGCCCTTGGTCCTGGGACAGCCTCTTGTTCCTCATTTGAGAATCCCTTTGTCTTTAAGAAGCAAGTGCCTTATCAGGTTGCTGGTCAACCACCAGTACTCAGCCCACTGATTTCCTGGGAACGCCACCGAAAACTACAACACCGCCTGCGACCACGTGTCACAGCAGAGCAACTAAGGAGGGGCGGCTCAGTTTATATTTCTGATAGAATGGGACACATACTCTGTATGCCTCCAAAGGCTTGGCCTCATATACAGGGCAGGTCTCTGAGCACCAGGGGGAAGCGGGGGTGAGGGCATGAGGGACTGGGCACAGGCCTAGAGAGGACTTCAGTTGAGTCTGGAGGAATAGCAATGACTCACTGGCTTTGCAGAACTTGCTGTACAACTTACCTAACAGTTCCCTACATGGAGACAGCCCCTGGAGGGGCAGGTGATCACTACTGATGGACAAGGGCCATGAAC